GTAATCATCTTAGAGTTGACAAAGTTGTTAACCTAATGTCAACCAGGAGGTCTCAAACTCGCAGCCTGTGGGCAGAATGTAGCCCACATATGTACTCTAGTACTATGTGTTTTGTTTGGGCTGCATGGTATTTAAAAGAGTTGGAGTCAACACTTTAAAATCAAGTGTTTTATATAATAATCCAAATTTTTATCACCTTTTGAAAAACCGAAAGACCTAGCAACATTGGGCCTACATTTTTACAAGGCAACAATCAACTGGAGTTGAGTTTAGGCAGCCTCCTTTAGAGGAGGCATGTCCTTCCCTGGCCACCAGAGTTTTCCCTGTATGTTTGTTTATATTATATGAACACAAACTGCATCATTTATATCCTATACGTGGATTCCTGTAAGTTTGGGGCATCTGGATAGATCATGAACCTTCACAGTATCCTCTTTTCTTCACCTTTCTAGGAATCACCCATACCAGAAGACAAAGGCCGCCGATTCATCTTTTCTTACTTTCTAGCTACTGACATGATCAGTATCTTTGAGCCTCCTGTTCGCAATTCTGGGATCATTGGGGGCAAGTACCTTGGCAGGACTAAAGTTGTTAAACCAAATTCTACGGCAGACAACCCCATCTACTATGGCCCTAGTGACTTCTACATCGGTGCTGTGGTTGAGGGTAGGTCTAAACACAGTTCAGAATTTTTTACTAGCTGGGCGAATGAGTTCTATTCTTAGTTGGAATTTAATTTATTTAACTCTTATCAAAGACAATTAGGTTGTATTCCAGCTAAGATTAAAGCTAATATTCTTGTATATATAATATAATGTCTTAATCTCCTTCCTTATCAATTAAACTGTAAATTGATTGCATTTTTTGGCTACATATGTTGACAATGAGTTTCCTAAACACTGAGGAAACTACTGCATATTAGTTTATAGAGCTATTGAAAGTTCATTAGTCTTAGTCACAAATGCGTATCTGTGAATTTATCGTTGGAGGGTTAATATTACTTTACTCCTGATTGCATGAGAGAAACATAACAAAGCTAAGTATATTGCTACCCTCTCTCCAGTGTTTGGCCACCGGTTCGTCATCCTTGATACAGATGAATATGTTTTGAAATACATGGAGAGCAACGCTGCCCAGTATACACCAGAAGCACTCTCGTCAATTCAGAACCATATCCGAAAGCAAGAAGCTCCTGCATCAAAATTGGATAAGTATGTTTGACTGCCTAGGGTTCATTTTGCCTTTGGCACATGCAAGATACTCAGGAAGTAGTTCTTGGTAAAATGAATGAGTAATCACATTTAGATTTCAGACTTCTCTCACCAGGTGGTAGTTATTAGACATGCACAGAATGTTCCCTGGGTCTAATATAATAACTAGTAACTTAGAACTTTTTCAACTTCATTTATTTAGCAAATACAGTTGACCCTTGAACAACGCAGGGTTAGGGGCACCAATCCCCCTGCACTGTCAAAAATCCAGGTATAAATTTTGACTCCCCCAGTACTTAACTGCTAATAGCCTACTGTTAGTAGGACAGGAAGCCTTACCAATAATATTAACAGCCAATTAACACATATTTTGTATATTGTATGTATTATATACTGTATTCTTACAATAAAGTAAGCTAGAAAAAAGAAAGTTATTAAGAAAATCATAAGGAAGAGAAAATGTATTTACTTGCCATTAAGTGGAAGTGGATCATCATAAAGGTCTTCATCTTCACCATCTTCACATTGAAGAGGCTGAGGAGGAGGAGGAAGTGGAAATGTTGGTCTTGTCTCAGGGCTGGCAAAGGTGGAAGAAAATCTGCATGTAAGTGGACCCGTGCAGTTCAAACCCATGTTGTTCATGGGTCAGCTGTGATTATTGAATGCCTACTATGTATCAGATACTATCATTAGGCCTTGGGCTTTTATGAGTAAACAAAATAGAAAAGAAGTTGTCTTCTTGGAGTTGACCTTCTGAGCAGCAGGAAATAACATAAATAAGTAAATTATAGTATATTAGTGATAAGTGCTGTGGAAAAATGGAGCAAAATAAGGGTAATAGGGTTTCTGAAGAGTGGCAGTAGGCTGCAATTGATCAGGGCAGGTGGTTGCACCTTGAGAAGGTGACATTGAGCAAACACTTGAAGGTAAGGGTGTCAGCCAAAAGGATGTCTGGAGGAGGAGCTTTTCAGGAAGAAGAATGGTGAGTGCAAAGGCCCTACGTGGTAACATGCCTAGCCTAGAGTACTCAAGGAATATTGGAAGAAGTAGGCCAGTGAGAGTGGCTGAAATGGGTGAGAGGAAAGGGGAGTAGGAGATGGGATTAGAAAATTAACAAGGGGCTAGATTGTGTAGAACCTACTAGGTCTTTGGAAAAGTTTTGGCTTTTCTCTGAATGAAATGGAGCAATTGGGAGGTTCTGAGTATAGGAGTGACAAAATTTGACATATAGTTTAACACATTGACTGCCACACAAAAAACCCAGAAACTCTTCCTTGGGGCCACAGTGTTTTATTATAAAAATAGAATAAAAACTTCAAGTGTCATTTAAAGGTAAACATAAATAGAAAAATGAAATTTACTGACTTCTGTTTACTTAATCCACATTTTTAGAATT